GGGGGGGGGGTACAGACATACCTCAGAGACATTGTGGGCTCAGTTCCAGACCACCACAAGAAAGCCAATATCACAATAAAGCAAGTCAAAGGAATTTCTTGGTTTCCCAGTGAATATAAAGGTTAGGTTTACACTATATTATAGTCTATTAAGTGTGCATTAGCATTACATCTAAAACAATGCACACACCTTAATGAAAAAATATCTCATTGCTAAAACACCCCAACCACCATCTGAGCTTTCAGTGAGTCGTAATCCTTTTGTGTCTGGAAGGGTCTCCATATTGGGGGCTGCTGGTTGGTCAGGGTGGTCGGTGCTGAAGATTGGGGGGCTGTGGCAATTTCTTAAAATAAGACAGTGAAGCCTGCCTCATCGATGGACTCTTCCTTTTTTTTTACTATCTTTAAAATTTTTGTTTAATGTTTATTTATTTTGCAGAGAGAGACAGACGGAATCCAAAGCAGGCTCCATGCTCTGAGCTGTCAGCGCAGAGCCCGATGCGAGGCTCGATCTCACAGACCAAGAGACCGTGACCTGAGCCTAACCCATGCTTTGGACGCTTAACCAACTGAGCCCCCGGGCACCCTCTGATACACATTTTAGAAGCCCACCAAACAGGGTAGAAATTTGAACATTCATGAACACACGGGTTAAACGCTAACGAAGAAAACTCAGCTGTCCAATATGGCGGCATGTGTCCCCAAAGCACTGGATACCGAGAGTCGTAGCCGCTCCGGTCCCCTCTCCTAAACACCTATTGTACTTTAAGGCAGTTCAAATAGAGGGTCAGACAAACTGTTTTGTGTACAAATAACCAATTTTCTCCAGTTACTATAAGATGACAGTGATTTCAACACATAATTTCTCTTTTATTTTTTTTTTAATTTAAAAAAAAATTTTTTTTTTCAACGTTTATTTATTTTTGGGACAGAGAGAGACAGAGCATGAACGGGGGAGGGGCAGAGAGAGAGGGAGACACAGAATCGGAAACAGGCTCCAGGCTCCGAGCCATCAGCCCAGAGCCCGACGCGGGGCTCGAACTCACGGACCACGAGATCGTGACCTGGCTGAAGTCGGACGCTCAACCGACTGCGCCACCCAGGCGCCCCCATAATTTCTCTTTTAATTACCCAGAGCCTTGTGCCCCTCTGGATGACAAGATAAAGGGATTCTCCGATTTTCTGTAAATTCGTAGAGGGCTCTCCTTTGAATATTTACTAAAAATCTGCAATGCATGTATCTGGGCTCTCGGAAGGAGTCATAAAGGAAACAGAATGCATGATATCCTGTAATCACCGTGGA